CCCAGAGTTGTTCTTCCTATTGGAGAAATGACGATGAAGCCACAAAAGGTGTATTTAAAGTTAATCTGCTTGGGAATCTGTTGTGATATCTTGGAGCAGGCTGCTGCACAAGACATGCACATGCTACTAGCATGACTAGCACTAGTCTTAAAACGAGGAGTGGCTGTCCAGAAAACCACCCTGCATCCTTTGATGGAGTCACTATTGTAGGTTTTATTCTTTTTAGCGGCCGTGTTATAAAAAGAATACATAGTGTCACCATGATAATTAAAATAATTGTTTAATGGAATTGTTGGTTTAAGGATCTTGTCCTACTTATTGGCTGTCTCCGCTTGGCAAACAGCAAGACAAGTAATTATCTGTACCTTGCCTGGCTGATCCGTATTCGTGGGAGCTTTTATAGCTGAGGGAACTGAGGAGTTTGCTCAGTCAGGTGCTTCACATGAAATGCTTTGCATCACGGGCCAGATTTAGGATCTCTAAGAGCCTCCAGAGTTGTGCTCACTTTCACATGAATAAAAGTTTGATCCACTTCCAACTTCAGAGAGAAGGAAAAAACAAATGACTTCTAAGAAAAGGTTTCTCATGGTGCACTCTGAAAGCAAACCCTTCCAGTGTGCACGGCAAACCGTCCCGTACAGAATATCCAGACCATTTCATGGCTTCACAAAACCGAAGAAACATACCCTGTCCCAAGCATCTTATAAAATTAGGCCCAAGTTTTTGAATGTCACCCACCCCAGTGATCCTGTTGCCTTCTGAGGTTCTACCACATGAGCAAGATAAGTGAATTCATGCTCTAATTTTAGACCTAATGCAATTTGCTGGGAAGACTGCAAATGGAAAAGGATTACTATTGGGAGTGGGAGCAAACTGATGATAGTAATGTTACTGAAAATTGGACATAGAAGGCAAACAATCCTTATACTTGCCCTCTCATCAGGGATTAATAACCACAACCTTGGAAGGCTCCAAAGGACTTAACTCTGCCTGAAAGCAAGACGACTTGCTGGCCGCAAACAGAAGAAGCAGGTGGCTTATGCCAATAACCCCCCCAAACCATAAAGGGTTAAATTGCCATATGCGGCTACTAAGTATGCATGTGAAAATTTCAAAAGCGTGAGAGTTAGCCATCTGGCTCCTGCTTCTACTGGGTATTTGGGGATGAAAAGAGAAACTGGAAAGGTAAATAGTGTATTGCTTGATTTTCAGCCGAGCTGTCTCTCTTCAGTGCCTAGTCATATTTGTCCACCTAAATGAGTGGGATTGACTGTGTCTTCCCAAAAAGGGGAGAAAAAAAATTAGCACATAAGCTCTGGGAGAGCTGTGCAAAGCAACACACTGCCTAATCTAACAGCTGAGGCAAATTTATTCTGGTCTGCATCCAGAAAAAAGACTTAGCCTTTCAGTGTCTAACAACTTGTGTGTGCTGATGCCCAGGCAGTTTCTCACACCCCAGGGCTCTGTGTAGAACATGCAGGCAGGGTTAGCTGCCTTAGACTGAGATTCCAAAGAAGAGCCCAAGATCTGGGGCAAGCATCACGATGACAGGGGAGGGTCAGGCATCAGTTTGGACGGGGAAGTGAATGCTTTCCTAGCTTTAAGTGTGTATGCCAAGCCAGCTTTTTTTTTTCTTCTTCTTTTTTCTTTTTTTTTTTTTTAATTTTCCTCTGGGGTAGAGGTAGA